GGCTGCTGGTGGAGCCAACCTTAAAGAGAACCTGTTACTATGTACTGCATGGGAAAAGCACATGTTCTGTATACGTTTTGCAAATATTGCACAAGCACATATGTATTTTGATATTTGAAATGGTATTTAATTGGTAACTCCACATGTCTTAATTGGATACTTGAAGTCCATTTATTTTAAAACGTATGTAAGGGGAAAAAAAAACATCACCTGCATACCTGGTGGCTTGCCAGAAAATACAGTGTGCTCCTAACAACCTATTTGAGCTGACTACACCGTGGCTTTGCTGAACTTAAAAACCAACCAGCATTGTCAGCACTGCCTACTGGACTACAGAACTCCACCTGTCCACCACCCCTTTGTCCTTTTCCACATGCATAGATTTATTTCTCTGCCAGCAAAAAAAAACCCTTCCGCACCGACTTGCAAGAGTCTGTCCACTGTGCAGGGACTCTTAAAATAAGTAGTTCTGGGGCGGGCATGCCTCGATCATTAGAAACTGACCGCCGAGCAGCTTCACCTGCACGAATTTTGAAAGCCTAGCGACAATGTCCCAGGGAGTAGGAAAGCAGTTTCTCACAAAATGAACACGATAAAATAAAATAATGCAGGGACATAATCTAGAGGAGGAGAGTGAGGCCTGGAGTTAAATTTGGGTAATGGCTGGACATGCCCTGTAACTGTTTTACAGTAAGTGAGGAACACACTGTAATCACATTATAATCAATAGAGGAACGAAGAGGGAAAAGTAGAGCATATTTGTGGATGAAGCTGCAAATTAAGTGGGACGACATGTTGTGGAAGTATGGAAGTCATCGATGGGACTGGCAAAGACCGGTGATAGATGAGCAGTATCTGGAAATATGGATTGGAAGCTGCAGTTTATTCTGCTTATTTTTTTGCATTCCCTGTTCCCTCCCTCCTTCCTCCATCACCACGCTAATGATGTTTTTCAATTAAATCTTTTTGTCAGTATTATTTGAGACCCACTAATGTCATCATATGGTATCTGTGCTTCTCTGTGCAATCACATGTAGAGAGAAGGGTTGTGCATAGCTTTCTGAAAACAGTACCAAGCCCTAGGTAATGCCTGCATGTGATGCTGGGCCTCCACTATGAAAGGAACTGAAATCCATATAATTAAAGGGGAAGGCCAGGGGCAGTAAGGCTGGGGAAGAAAGCGCTAGATGTTGCTGGACATCCTCCAGCCAGGAAATGGGGCGGGCTATGACATGCTGCAGCTTCTAATACACATTGTGAGAAGCTCACAGTGTGCAGTGAAATCAGAGTAAGTCGGTTCAGTCCAGGAGAGGAGCCGGTACAACTGTGCAAGATGGAAGGGACGGCCGGAGTTAATCTGACGTAGAATTTACGATAGATTATAACAGTCAAAGTCCGGCTAGTGAACAACCAGATACAATCTGCAGACATCAAAACACTTATATAGTTAAAGGAGAACTATCAGGTGAATGATTTTTCACTCAGCCTCATAGTTCAAGCCGACCTGTGACAATGAGACTGTCACACTTTGGCTCAATAGATCAGGAAATGAGCGCACACATACCGTCGCTGGCTCACTTCTCGATCTATCCCTGCAGAGAGCTGTGACTGTCACTCATGGCTCCCTGCAGGGATTCCCCCCGTCCGTCCGTTCCGCCAGTCAGCGCTGGAGGATTGAGGGGGAGGGTACAGCTGGCTCTGCCTCTAGATAGGCAGAGCCAGCTGTCACTCACGCAGCTGGGTGGATCTCGACAGTAATGTCGCGATCCGTCCTGGCTGTGGCGCTCTCAGTATACCGCGAACTGTAGCTCGCGAAATACTGAGCTTTGGGTCACGGGAGAACGCTAGTTTGTGTCCTCCCGTGACCCTGAGGAGAACTATTGGAAAAAACACTTACCCCATAGTTCTCCTTTAATGCAAACTCTACTTATCAGGTGATTGATCTTACTTGCTATACAAATGAATTCCGGGACTTTGGCACTTGAGCGTTCCCCCTTTTTGTTTGTTCCAGGTTCAATCACCCATTGTCCGAAGACTTAATGCGAGGTGTCTGCCAAGCACGATTAAAATTACAAAACCATGAAATTAAAATGAAGACGTTTAATTTAGTTTTTTTTCTGGAACCAGCTGAGAAAATAAGAAGACGATGGCTAAAAAGTTTTATGGCTTCGAGTTAAATATGCCGCTTGTCAAAATATTTGACGGTTGGGTGCTTTTCTGATAAGAAAGAGGAGGTATTGTTTTGTTCCCTAAACATTTCTGGTTATGAAAATCTTCAGGTGTAAAAATATTTCCAGGCGTTTGAAAGTCTAATCTCGGCAGGAAAGCCGCACTTTAGCATATTGACAGAGGCTATTAGACTACAGAATGAGACACTCCGCTCATAAATGATATACAGGCAGCAATAAAAACCTGACGGAATATTTATATCTTGTAGGCCAGTTGTGGGGAGAATAGGTTAATCCCTTCTCCATCCCACATTGCATTGCCTAGCTCCTGAACAACCAATCACAGTGTCCAAATGGGTGCGTCTATGCCTATGCAAATTATGACTTTCAGAAAGTCAGTAGATGCACTGGAACTTCAGAGGTAAAGAGGAGGCTTGGTGTGAACCCAGTTTACCCAAGCCTGCTCAAACTCTGACCGCCACCCTCTCCCCGACTCAATCAGTGGCAGTAGTTGCAGCAGGGGTGTTCCCCACCCCTTTGTGGCCTATAGCTGTGGGGCATGGAATGTGTCTCCCTGCAACTGTATCAGTCGGGAGGAGGAGGAGGTGGCGGGCTTGGGCGGACTCAGGCAAAATTGAGTTTGCACCAAGCCCAGGCTCATCTCTGTTCAGAGGCTCCAGTAGTTCTTATGGTGGCAGAGAGTGGCTGTCAAGACTTGAATGTTACCTTATAATGTCTAGTGTGCTAGGCATGTCTGACGGGTAATACCAGTATACTTTAAGGGGCTTCCATTTTCTGCACTGATTTATTAACAAATAAGTCAATTCATGTCAATGCGACACATATAAATATGAATACAGCTTTTACATAAGATGGTCAACAGTCAACAGCTGAATTCCTGGACATTGCTATTATAAGCTTGCCATGAAACTCTACAGGTTGGAGGCACAAGAAAGTAAGTCTTAGGTTTGTTGCTGCACGGGTCGGCATAATGTGTTTGCACGGGTGCATCAATATTGCACATTTGTATGCGCCCTCTCTCTCATCCCCTTTAGAACTACTCCACTCAACCGAACTGCTGCTGACATTAATAAGACAAATAATTTAACTGTATCCGCTTAAAGTAAAAGGTAACTGAGACCCATCGTGATACCATTAATAAAATTGCCCGCCATACTCTTACCTGGCCGATGTGCCTTTGGGGCTGCCATGTTTTGCACCTTTCCTCCGTCCAGGGGTTTAGGGGGCGATGCAGTAAACCTGCATATCCCAGACTCTGAGGGCGTGCTAGAGGTCAGACTGTCTGTGTACTCATTAGTCCCTGCTGTGAGCTGTTCTGATGATGTGTCTGATATGAAGCACTCTGTGATGGTGAACTTGGCGTGTCTCAGCTGCTCCTCCATCTTGGCGTGCTCGTACGCCCTTGCTAGCTCTTCATAGGTAGACGAGGCACTTTCCGTGGAGACCATGCTGCTCCTTGCTCTGTCTGTGGAATGCAAAGTACCCTTTGATTAGTATTCAAGTTTTTTGCTGCTGACAAATGGCAGTTAGGCTAGACAGACTTGAAGCTGAAGTGTAGCATACTCATATAATTTCCCTTGTTTCCCCTGCCCTCCGATCAACATGCAATTAAAATTTTTCAATCCAATCATTTTGTTTTCAAGGAATACCTCTTTTGAAACCCAGTGGGGCCATAACTGGGTCTTTCTGCAGCTCTTTGCTCCAAGTTTGTTGGAAGGGGCCAGCAAGCTCCAGTAAAAATCACAGCACTCGGCCTCAGATCTTTCTTTAAGATCGTTATGTGAAAGAATGCATCTCCAGCATCCCTTTCGATGTGCCTGCTCCTTCATGCTGGCCACTCAATGCTGCAGACTTTAGTTTAGCTGTTGATCAGTTGCTTGAGCATGCACATCTAAAGGGATGCTGGGGATGTGTTCTTTCATTTAATGTTTGGGAACAAAATGATTGATGACAGAGAAAGCCAATAGCTGTGAGAGTTGGGTCATTGACATTACAGATCAGGAGGAGAGGGGTTTTATGATTGAAGTTATTCAGTTTAAAATTAAGGTGGGTTAGTGATATCTGCTGCAGCTTCAAAGGTTTATATTGCGGAGATGGACGTTTGCAGTGAAATGAGAGTAATCAGTTTCAACACAGGAGAGGACTTGCTACAAAAGTGGAAAAAGAGGAAAGACTGGAGTCTAGCTTTAGGACAGAGATCTGAAGAAATAAAGTGCGCATGTCATTGGTTGCTAAGACACTGGCAGCCCCACAGTATCACGGTTGTTAGGGTGTGCCCACCTGCACCAATGATGCTGTGTGACTCAGCTGCTGGAGTCCTAGCAACCAATGACACTGTATGGGTCGCACAGCATCACTGGTTCCTAGGATATAGGCAGCCCTGGATTTGGTTTGCTTGGACATTTGTTAGACCCCAGATCTCTAGCTGGGTCCAGCAAATTTCCAAGCAAACCAAACCCAGGCCAGGGATGTTCCGATACCAGGCATTTTCACGAGAACTTGTACTCATGAAATTTCCCCCGATTAAGGCCGATACTGGCCCTTTACATTTTTAAACCACAGCAACTGTTCGAGTTCCCGTGCTTGTGGGGACCTCGGCAGCCTGCTGGGGACATGTATTCTGCTTTGGGGACATGTATTCTGCTTTGGGGACATGTATTCTGCTCTGGGGACGTGTATTCTGCTTTGGGGACGTGTATTCTGCTCTGGGGATGTGTATTCTGCTCTGGGGACGTGTATTCTGCTCTGGGGACGTGTATTCTGCTCTGGGGATGTGTATTCTGCTCTGGGGACATGCATTTAGCCCGGGTGACATCTGTATTTAGCCCTGGTGAGAAACTGCCCTAAAATCATTAGTCTGTATTGTGTTAGAAGAAATGTCATGTCCCTTTGAGAAAAAGTATCAGCAATTGGTATTGGCAAGTACCTGAGGGCAAGTATTTGTATTTGGTCTTAAAAAAGTGGTATCGGAACATACCTAGACTACACCCTAAATCTGCAGTGTGAGATCTATGGCACCGCTGTCTCAGATTGGTAGTCTCAAGAGATCTGGCGATGTCCCTCTTGTTCTCCTTGCTGGAGGTTCTGACATGAGGAAGCAAAGCCCTGCCTTTACCAAGATGGCCACCTCCATACAGAGTCACAGCACAGAACAAGGCATGCTCAGTCAGTAAAGGGGAAAATATCAACTACTGGCAATAGTGGTGACTAGTCCTTTGCCCTCTGACTTTTTTGGGGGAGCACAGCATGCAGAGTTCAGTTCCTCTTTATGGTTAATTTTGCTCTTTAACAAGCTCAGTGAATAGTCACCCGGCACTAGCTTTAATCAACCCCTGGCTTTGTAATGTTCCCTGTAGGAATCAGCATCATCATCCCGATGTTCATAAAACACAGGATGATAGCAAAGTACCAATCATTTTTATTTTTTTTTCAATTCCATCAGGCGCTCCGCTTACAGAATCCAAAATAAAATGATGTCTATTGCGCGCCTGAGAACAGTCCGCGGACAAAGCCGTGCAGACAATAAATATAATCTTGTATCTCCGGGTAATACAGTTTCTAATCTAGTTTTACTGGGCGGGCTGATAAATTAAGTTACCATAGGAACAGCAATAAAAACAGAGATTTATTTTCGGGGAGAATATGAGAAGGAACTTTTTTATCGGCTTCCAGAATTTCACATTTCTACGGCTGTAGATTATACTCATTACCGAGTTCTGCTTAGCGTGGGCTTAAGCAGGAGATAGAGATCGACTGCAGCCACGTGGGTCAGCGAGAGGTCAGAATAATGTATTAAAAATAGGGAACAGCAAAGCGTCGTTCATCACAATCTGCCTATTTCGTTGGGAGAATCTCCCAGCATGCACTGTTACACAAGGGTTTTGTTTTAGCAGGAGACTACATCGTGTCTTGAGGGAATTGTTCTACTACTGTTAACCTTATGCTAGTTTTTTAATGGGATTTTTTGCTCGTTGCCATAAGTGTGTTACATAGGCAGCTTTGTAGTGCACTCAATGTAGTGGTTATCTTCATTAAAGGCTAAGGCCCAGTTTGGGGCTGAAACATGTAAGCATTTGTTATGCTGCTGCTGTTATGCTTTTTTACAAATAAAGTACTGGATGGACGGATCTCCTTGTGAGTGCCATTTTTTTGGGGCCAACCACTTATTACTATTACATGCATTTATATAATGTAGTCCCAACAATTTATGTAGCACTTCACATATTGCATATTTACATTAGTCCCTGCCCCCAAGGAGCTTACAAGCTAAGGTCCCTATCTCACATAGACACACTAGGTCTATCAGGGTCTGCCATAGGTGGCTGCAGTTGGGTTATTTGAGACCTGCAGGAGCTAATTAACCTTCCAGCATGTCTTTGGAGTGTGGGAGGAAACCAGAGAACCCAGAGGAAACCCCACGCAAACACAGGGAGAACATGCAAACTTCATGCAAGTAGTGTCTTGGTTAGGATTTAAACCAAAGGACCCCCAGTGCTGCGAGGCAGAAGTGCCAACCACTAAGCCGCTGTGCTGTGCAAAAGTCTCATAATCATATAAGCCGATTTGTGAAAGTTGTGAATTTTCACTCAAATAATTGTGTGAATGTTCCAATTATCCAATCATGGCAAAAGGAAATTCCTGTTCACTCTGAATTCCTGATCCTGTGCAGCTGCTTTTTACATTAATGGATAACAGATGTGAATATTCACGCAAATGACTGAAGATTCTCAATTCCTGTAGAGTGCATTGTATTACAGCAGTGAGACCTGGCCGGTAAGCTTGCTGCATTGTTGAGGAGGCTGTTCAAATGTATCTGAACCCTAACAATGAAATTCTCTTATTTGTTCAATAAATTCCTGCCAGAAATTGTGTGAGCTGCTAACTTTTTGTGCTCTCTGCTTGTGTTGCATTCATATCAGTTAACATTTCCCCAGATCTTTATGTGGACTATTAGCCCCCATTCACACGAGAAACGGGCGGCCCGTACAGATCCGTGCTGCGTGCACGGCCGTATTGGGCCGTTCCCGGGAAGGACAGGTGCTATGTGTAATTACACGGGGCAGCCTGTCCTTCTATATAAGAGTACGCCCAACGTCCTTATGGGTGCGGGTGTCCATACTCGTAAGCTGACTGGATGGATCCTGTCTGCGTCCGAGCAGGGACACTCGCACCCGTACGGACGTGCAGGTCGGGTGAGCGTAGGGCGGCGTACAGCCGCGTGCTCCCATAGAGAATGACAGGCTGCTGCGTACAAATCACACACAGCACCTGTCCTTCCCGGGAGCGGCCCTATACGCCCGTGCACGCATCACAGATCTTTACGAGCCGCTCGTTTCTCGTGTGAATGGGGGCTTACTGTGGACTATGTTACGGAGAAGAGGAGAGGCGGGTCGTGTTTTAGTGATTCTTGTCGGGCTTTGGGCTTGTCTAGGAGGCATCAGTATGAGATGCTTCTGTGATCATTCAGACAGGTATATTTAATTTGCAGTTTACACTTTACACTCACATAGACCCATCTGAAGTGAACAGAAAGCCAGACACAAGCTATGTAGATGTATGTGCAGTCCAATGTTTGATTCCAACCAGGGACACTAGCTGAAAGGAGTTTATTTTTAACACAGGGTTCCTCTGGTGATCTCACACAACCCAAAAACATACCCTTATTTAAACTGGCAATTAATCCATGTCATTTTATTGCAGGCCATTAGCATAGACAGGGCTTCAGGAGACAGACACTGATATGAACATAAAGCAGATGTAACTAACACATAACTTGTATCCATTGCTCTATTTGTCCGCTTAGCCATATAAAAGTCCTGCCCAATTGGATGTCCTCATAATGTGTATTTCCATCTATCACCACTAGGTGTCAGACACATAGGCATCTATGCACAAATTAGGCACCATTCACTAAGCTACAAAGCATGTGTTATTTGCCATAACCTGATGGCTATTTTTGAAAAGGGCATGGAGTTCTAAGTCACCACATTCCCATCAACCCTCCTTGCCTGTAGAAATTTTCCTTCCAGGTTTCACCATAAAGACTGTATCCCAGTTACCTGTGTCCTGCGATGGGCTGACACTGTAGCTGTCGCTTTCCTTGTCTACAGAGCCTGTGGCCCTAGGAGTGGGTAGTCTCCAGTCTGTGGTCAGTGTGTGTGCGGATATGGTGGGATGCGGTCTGTTTAGTGTCCACTGGCTGGCATATCTGTTCCGAGCTGCTGGGCCGGCCTTGGCGTTCTTCCTTGTGGTCGGATCTGTGAGAGGCCAAAAAAGGGACGGTCACCCCAAAAATATACAATTATCCAAGATAAATAGAGAAACAGGCAGACAGAAAGGTTTATAGGTAGCCTGGCAGATACATAAGAGATACGTGAGAAGAGAGAAGAGAAAAGAGAAGAGCGAAGAGAAGAGAATAGAAAAGAGAAGAAGCAGAGAAGAGAAGGAGAGGGGGAAAAAGAGAAGAGAAGGAACAGAGAAGAGAAGGAGCAGAGAAGAGAAGAGGAGTAGAGAAGAGAATAGACAAGAAGAGAAGGAGCAGAGAAGAGAAGAGACAAGGAGCAGAGAAGAGAAGAGTAAGAAGCCGGGAAGAGAAGAGACAAGAAGAGAAGGAGCAGGGAAGAGAAGGAGCAGGGAAGAGAAGAGAAGAGAAGAGACGAGAAGGAGCAGGGAAGAGAAGGAGCAGGGAAGAGAAGAGACGAGAAGAGAAGGAGCAGGGCAGAGGAGAGAAGAGAAGGAGCAGGGAAGTGAAGAGACGAGAAGAGAAGCAGGGCAGAGAAGAGAAGGAGCAGATCGATAGACAGATAAATAGATTTTAGAGGAAAGATCCATTATAGATAGATAGATAGAGATAGATGGATAGATAGATAGATAGATAGATAGATAGATAGATAGATAGATAGATAGATAGATAGATAGATAGAGATGGATAGATAGATAGATAGATAGATAGATAGATAGATAGATAGATAGATAGATAGATAGATAGATAGATAGATAGATAGATAGATAGATAATAGTTCTGAGACCGATAGATAGTTACATAAATAGATGACAGTTAGACTATTAGATAGACAGTCAGACAGATTGACATGAGACACAGATATACTCAGATATACAAATAAATGACAGACACATGCCTGATGGATGTACAATATAATGCATATACACAGCACACATATGCAGATAAAATTTGAGCACACTTGTAGGCTTTTAAAGGATCATTAATCCAACATAGCTCCAAAAAGCATGTGACAACCAAGATATCTGCAGTGATTTATATTGTCATTTTTGCCTGGGAACAAGTGATAAATATGCATAACCAGCACCATAACTAATACTATGATACAGTGGAGTCCTGGTGGCAAGTATCTGCAGATCCTGATTGTCAGCACAGTGTCTGATGGCTGTCCTCTCATCAGTAGGGATCTCGGCAGCGCTCCCTCTGCTCTATTGTCCTGTGACTGCGCTCCCTGAGAATTCCCTCTAATTCTGAGTTGTCACATCTGCGGCGGCGATGTGCAGTATTTTTAGCCTGGCTAGACTCGCACCCCGCTGTGTTATTTCTATCATTCTAAGCAGTATTGTTGTTTCTGAAAAAAAGCTTCAGGACAAAACATCCATCTAACATATGATTGTATACAAATTATTGTGATTTTACAGCAACATCTCTGCATATCCATTACACTGAACTCCAGGCAAACAAACATACTACTGAAATACATATATGACACCTGCATGTAAAAAAAAGCCTTTGAATAGTTGTTTATCTATTTCTGAGATATACACAGCCCTAAACACTGCAAAGACAGGTTGGTGAGCTGACTTCTCTGTACTGCAGTTAACCAGCACTGCCTGGTCCCCTCCCTGGCTCGAGAGCCACCAACTGACACTAAGAGCCTCTCAATCCCTACTGTCACATACAGTGGTCACATAATTAGGCTAGTTCCTAATCATGTGACCACTAGGTCAGATATGACATAGTGGTTACATGCAGGCTGAAGACCTCATTGAAAAAAATAAAAGCCTTCACCCCTTCATGCAAAGAGAAAGTAGCCTATCCGTTCTCTACAGACCAGTGACATCACTAAAAATGCCGCCTATCCATTCACAAGAAGCTGGTGACATCACTAAAAATGCCGCTTATCTATTCACTGGAGACTGGTGACATCGCTGAGAATGCTGCCTATCCATTCACTAGAGACCGGTGACATCACAGAGATGCAGACTGTTCATTAGAGACTAGAAATGTCTGCCTACTTCTCTACTAGAGGCCAGTGACATATGTATAAAAGGGTTAATTGTTTCTTCTCCTGAATATTGCACTCTGCATTCTCCAGGGTAAAATAAAAGATGCATACTTCCAGATTAATTTTGCAAATTATTTTTTTTAGACATTCAATCAATTAATCATACAGCTAAGAGCTTTTTCATAATAACCCAATATATTATTAAAAGTAATTGTAGCTGATTAAGGAAATGCGAATAATTTACCAGGCTTGAAATTGGCAAATTAATTAATGAAGTCCTACTGTGCGCAACTTTACTTTCAGGAAAGGAAGGCATTTGCAGGCCTGCGGTCCATAGACCACATGCACTGCAGTCTCTAGCTGGCCTCTACCTCCTCTACCTCAGTCTAAAAGTGAATCTGTCACATAAAAACAGAATACACAAGGAAAGGACTGTAATACCTGTGAAAGGATAACCGAAATGTGATGCTTCAATTTACAAAGGGTGCTGAATTCAGCTCTTTATATCTGACGACTGTGTCAGGATCAAAGTTCTCGCACCCCGCTGTGTTATTTCTATCATTCTAAGCAGTATTGTTGTTTCTGAAAAAAAGCTTCAGGACAAAACATCCATCTAACATATGATTGTATACAAATTATTGTGATTTTACAGCAACATCTCTGCATATCCATTACACTGAACTCCAGGCAAACAAACATACTACTGAAATACATATATGACACCTGCATGTAAAAAAAAGCCTTTGAATAGTTGTTTATCTATTTCTGAGATATACACAGCCCTAAACACTGCAAAGACAGGTTGGTGAGCTGACTTCTCTGTACTGCAGTTAACCAGCACTGCCTGGTCCCCTCCCTGGCTCGAGAGCCACCAACTGACACTAAGAGCCTCTCAATCCCTACTGTCACATACAGTGGTCACATAATTAGGCTAGTTCCTAATCATGTGACCACTAGGTCAGATATGACATAGTGGTTACATGCAGGCTGAAGACCTCATTGAAAAAAATAAAAGCCTTCACCCCTTCATGCAAAGAGAAAGTAGCCTATCCGTTCTCTACAGACCAGTGACATCACTAAAAATGCCGCCTATCCATTCACAAGAAGCTGGTGACATCACTAAAAATGCCGCTTATCTATTCACTGGAGACTGGTGACATCGCTGAGAATGCTGCCTATCCATTCACTAGAGACCGGTGACATCACTGAGAATGCAGCCTATCCATTCACTAGAGACCAGTGACATCACTGAGAATGCAGCCTTATCCATTCACTAGAGACCGGTGACATCACAGAGATGCAGACTGTTCATTAGAGACTAGAAATGTCTGCCTACTTCTCTACTAGAGGCCAGTGACATATGTATAAAAGGGTTAATTGTTTCTTCTCCTGAATATTGCACTCTGCATTCTCCAGGGTAAAATAAAAGATGCATACTTCCAGATTAATTTTGCAAATTATTTTTTTTAGACATTCAATCAATTAATCATACAGCTAAGAGCTTTTTCATAATAACCCAATATATTATTAAAAGTAATTGTAGCTGATTAAGGAAATGCAAATAATTTACCAGGCTTGAAATTGGCAAATTAATTAATGAAGTCCTACTGTGCGCAACTTTACTTTCAGGAAAGGAAGGCATTTGCAGGCCTGCGGTCCATAGACCACATGCACTGCAGTCTCTAGCTGGCCTCTACCTCCTCTACCTCAGTCTAAAAGTGAATCTGTCACATAAAAACAGAATACACAAGGAAAGGACTGTAATACCTGTGAAAGGATAACCGAAATGTGATGCTTCAATTTACAAAGGGTGCTGAATTCAGCTCTTTATATCTGACGACTGTGTCAGGATCAAAGTTCTTACTGAACGTTACTGAGAGTTCAACAGACCATATAAAATGGTGAACCTCTGTACAGTTGCCTTTTCAGCTCTTGGTATGTAAACCTCTGTACAAAGACGTTGCTCTCCAGCTTCATAATTCACGTATTTCATTTTAGGCAAGCTGGAAAGGTCCTTTAACCACTTCAAGACCAGGTGTTTAGTGCGGCCATGTCCCGCTCGCGCACCCGGCTGCGCGCGCAAGGGGGCGTGTCTGAGCGGACGTCTAGAGACACCCGCTCAGATCTAGAGAGCTCCTGGCCGGCCGTTTTTTTACTACGGCCGGCCCGGAGGCAGTTAATCACCAGTAATTTTCAGAAAATTGGATAGAGACCAGGAGAGGCTTCTGTACTGAGATGCACCATTATAGCACAGTCTCTTCAACTCTCTGTACTGTACTAGAAATGAATGCCCAATCCAAGTGAAGAGTGTAAGCCTTCAATACAATGCTATGGTTCCGGAGAAAATAACCTTCTGTCGATTTACTCATGACGACAAGAACTTTCTAAATACACTTTATTGCCAAAAGTATTGGGACACCCTCCAAATCATTGGATTCAGGTGTGACATTTCCTTGCTACTAAATATTTCACGGTCAGCTGTTAGTGGTATTATAACAAAGTGGAAGCAACTGGGAACAACAGCAACTCAGCCACAAAGTGGTAGGCCATGTAAAATGACAGAGTGGGGTCAGCGCATGCTGAAGCGCACAGTGCGCAGAAGTCGCCAACTGTCTGTAGAGTGAATATCTACAGACCTCCAAACTTCGTGTGGCCTTCAGATTGGCACAACAACAGTGCGTAGAGAGCTTCATGGAATGGGTTTCCATGGCCGAGCAGCTGCATCCAAGCCTTACATCACCAAGTGCAATGCAAAGCGTGGGATGCCGTGGTGAAAGCACGCTGTCACTGGACTCTAGAGAAGTGAAGATGTGTCTTCTGGAGTGACAAATCACGCTTCTCTGTCTGGCAATCCAAAGGACGTGTCTGGGTTTGGCGGTTGCCAGAACGGTACTTGCCTGACTGCATTGTACCAAGTGTAAAATCTGGTTGAGGGGGGATTATGATGTGGGGTTGTTTTTCAGGGGTTGGGCTTGGCCCCTTAGTTCCAGTGAAGGGAACTCTTAAGGCATAAGCATACCAAGACATATTGGACAATTTCATGCTCCCAACTTTGTGGGAACAGTTTGGGGATGGCCCCTACCTGTTCCAACATGACTGCGCACCAGTGCACAAAGCAAGGTCCATAAGGACATGGATGAGCGAGTTTGGGGTGGAGGAACTTGACTGGCCTGCACAGAGTCCTGACCTCAACCCGATAGAACACCTTTGGGATGAATTAGAGCAGAGACTGCGAGCCCGGCCTTCTCCTCCAACATCAGTACCTGACCTCACAAATGGTCCAACATTCCCATAGACACACTCCTAAACCTTGTGGACGCCTTCCCAGAAGAGTTGAAGCTGTTATAGCGGCAAAGGGTGAGCCAACCCAATACTGAACCCTACGGACTAAGACTGGGATGCCATTGAAGTTCATGTTCGTGTAAAGGCGTTCCAATACTTTTGGCAATATAGTGTACTTTCTGATGCATGCATTTATCATCATTTAGCAATACTGGACGAAGGGGGGTCAGGGTATGCCAAATATTATGAAAAGTTGCGTGGCTAAGGAGGACTAGACAATGCTACATAATTAGATGATCCCAAAAGATGCATCTATGTCATGTTTTATGATAATTTATTTTTATATTAAAGTGGAACTATGGGCAAAATAAAAAAAAATCATATATGATGCATTAACACACTATTTTTTGAGTCCTCCCAGTACCTTTTTTTACTATGTTGTCCTGCTGATTCCTCCTGTATATAGCAGTGCGCTTCCTGTAACTTGAGCCTCATAGCAGTATATCTACAGTGTAAGATCATGTAAGGCACTGCTACCTTAAAGAGAGATTTGGTGATGTCACTACTGTGCTGTTTTCCTTGATGGAGAGGAAGCTGCACCTGAGGACCTGCAGAGCAAGAATCTTACTGCTTCTGCTTTATTCATTTTGAGGATCTGTGCTTCCTTCACCTCTCCTGGTGCCTCTTCAGTATTCGCCCACCAGTCTCAGGGTTCAGCTCTGACATAAGGAAGCAAAGACCTGCTCCTCTACTAAGATGACTGCCTCCACACAGAGACACAGTGCACAACAAGGGGTGGTAAGCAATTAATGAAGGAAAGATCAGATGCACAGAGACCACAGGCAATACTGGTGACCAGTTCCAGTCTTTTTTGGGGCATAGTTTCCACAGTTCAGGTCCACTTCAAGTAAATGTTTGTGTATAAGTATATGTTGCCATAAATCACTAGATCCAGAGGCTTATGCTGGATCTGGAATATTTATATATTGACATAGTTTGTCTATTCATGAACCTGTATTCCAATCCAACGTGTAAGGCAAGAAGATGCCTAGGCAGGCACATTGTGAGCAGGAAATGCTAGGGATCCTATTTTAATTAAAGGAGAACTATGAGGTGAGTGAAAATCACTCAGCCTCATAGTTCGAGCCGACGTGTGACAATGAAACTGTCACATGTCGGCTCAATAGATCGGGAAGTGAGTGAACGCATACTTACTGCATGCTGCGTCGCTTGCTCACTTCTCGATCATCTCCCTGCAGAGAGCCATGACTGACAGTGCAGGGATTCCCCCCCTTCCCGATCCTCCACTGCTGACTGGAGGAACGGACGGGGGAGGGTACAGCTGGCTCTGTCTCTAGATAGTCACTCACGCAGCTGGGTGGATCTCGACAATAATATTGGGATCTGTCCCGGCCTCGGCGGTCTCAGTATACCGCAAGCTATAGCTTGCAATATACTGAACTTTGGGTCATGGGAGGACGCTAATATACACTGAGTGGCCAGATTATTATGACCACCTGACGTTTGTAGGCAAATTAGCTATAATTAGCAATAATTTGGCGCTGAAGTTGTTAGAGGGCCAGACCATTATAAATAGGGAAGCAGGTTGTTTACCACGACAGTAGAAGTGATTTTTTTCCTGAAGATACGGGTAAACAACGCGATTTAACAGCCTTTGAACGTGGGATGATTGTTGGCGCTCGGAGCCATGGAGCGAGTATTAGCAAAACAGCAGAATTCGATAAATGTTCAAGAGCAGCTGTTGTTAAAGTGTTTAAAGACTGGACTGTCAGACGAAAATCTGGGTCTGAACGTGCGAATTGTGGCCGTCAGCGACTAGTCAATGTTAGGGCAGAACGGAGAGTGGCAAGACTGGTACAAGACAACAGAAGGGAAATCACCTTTCATCATATCGTGGAGTCACGAGTCGGCCCAACAAAGTAATCTTGTGGAGTCATCTCGTGGCCCAACGAAGTACTGATGGGGTGGTCATAAAAATCTGGCCACTCAGTGTATGTCGTCCTGTGACCCTTAGGAGAATTATGGGGAAAAACACTTACCCCATAGTTCTTTTTTAATATTACTTTTCTTATGGTAACATTTTTCTACACAATTTATTGCATTTTGGCTACTTTGTGAGGCCTATGTTTAAACTTTAGGTCCACTTCCAATTTTAATGTTGAGCTCCAGCCAAAACTTTTTTTTTTTTCTAGTCTTGGAGAGTGAAGGGTTAGGACCACTGTCATGTTTTCATTGCTGTCTGTGACCTGATTGGGTAAATTTCTATTTACTTCCTGGTTCAGATACACAGGAAGTGCAAAGAAATCTTCCCAAGGTGAGTGGAAGTCTTGAGTTTGATTGCTTTCACTAGAACAGATGTCCTGTTTGACAAACACCACCTCTACTCTTGCTGTGATCACAGCTCTACAATTTTACATTTCCCTAATGTTTTCTGTTTTGGGGCCAATAGCCACTAGAGCAAATAGTTAATTTAAATATTTTTAGAGGGGGGGTCATTAAAAATATGACATACGTTCTAACCAGGTACATGCAGTCAGGGGAGGCAGGTGAGGCAGAGCCTCACCTAGTATTATGGAAGAAAAAAGGTGTCAGCTTTAAGTCTGAAGCTGACATCTTTTTCTCCATTCAGATCGGCTTGTTACAGGTTACACAGCAAGGAAATCCTCCCCGCTGTGTAACCTGTGTTGGACTAAGTGCTAACTGTTAATTACAGGCGGCGCTGCATCCGGCTTTTGACAGGTAGTTAGGTTACACAGCAGCGGGCTTCCCCACTGCTTGTGTAATCGAACATGGTGAAGCTAGAGCAGTCACAGCCTCTACTCTATGTTAGAGGCGTGAGCTCTGTGGATGGCTTGGACCAATGGCAAAGCGCCATTGGTCCAAGCTGTCCAATCAAAAAAAAAGAAAAGAAATACTGAGGCCATCGATCTCGATGCCTCAGCAGTGATGAGCAAGTGAGGGACAGGGAGGTTCCACCCTGTCTCCTCCCTTCCTCCTCCCTACACAGCTTGGTTACCGAGTTGGGGGCGGAGCTTTGGTGGGGGCGAAGCTTCGGTGGGCTGGGGGATGCCACACCCAGCACAGAAGGCACGGCAAGTCACTGGTTCTAACACTTTCATTTTGGCTGAAATTAAAAATTCTAAAAAAAAATAGTTTTGCCTAGAATAAAAAAAAAATGTAAAAACATTTTTTGGGCTGAAATGTAACACGGAAGGAGGGAGATCCTGGATATTTGTTGAAAGTAAACATAAGAACGATTAAAACATATAAATATATCATAAACAAAATACAAACGATTGAGTTGAAGAGGAAAATATGATAATTTTATCATTTAAGATTCCTTTCAAGTTGACAGATTTCTTTAAAAAATTAACAAATTGGGGGAAGAAAAAAAAAACAGATAAAAAAACTCTTCAAACAGCATTAATAAATGAACACTCACTTGTTCCAGGGCGAGCATCGGAAACGTCCACCAAGGGCCCCGTAGCCTGCGAGACAGACTGGTAATGCACCGTGTGAGTCACAGTTAATGACTTCTGTTTTGATGACTCGCCAAAGTCAGCATCAGTCAATAGCACCGTGGATCTGTCATCTGGAAGGCAGAGAAGATTTAGTGTTAGGGGAAGAAGATATAAGGGGGCTGTTGGAACAGCTTGAAACCTTAATGCTGGCATAACAGAAAGGTGACTGATTTAAAGCAAAGGTTCTACATTGATTAAAAGGAGTATTTAACACACAGCCAGAATTAATTGCTGGAACATAAATCTTGGGTATGGGGAGTGATGTATGATGATTAAGTGATGGCATGACCATTCCAACCAATCTTCTAAAAGCAAAACAGACCACTAAGTATCGCCACTCTGGCATTTAGACCTAAGAACCCTTTTTCTGCGCAGTTGGTCTTCAAGTCTGTCCCTGTGCTTTACACTTAAATCGACATTAAAGTCAAACTTTTTGCCCCCTTCCCAATCCTGCTGTAAAGACTTACCATAAAAGATACCTGCTTATTCGATCATCTTCTTCTTTACTGTCCTTTTTAGATGTCCCTCCAGTGCTGGTGCGGGTCTCTGATCCAGCGCTGACTAATCTGTCCTCCTCTTCTCTCATGTCCAACGGAGTCTGTGCACGCTGCTCCATAGACTTACCTTGTGTCTCTCCTCGTCTCCCGGCTGAACATCTGAACTGCGCATGCGCCCGCCCCAAGATCCTTTGCGGCCGCCCGAGACTCTTCAGATATTCGGACGGGAGCGCGCGACGAAGACACAAGTAAGTTTAAACCTGTTTCAAAAGGTTTTTGTTTTGTTCTTTTAAACTTTTTGCATATATCTACTACTTGCTAGCCCTAGACATATGCAAAAACACGCTGAGGGTTTAATAACGCTTTACTGAGACCTTTATTTTCTGGTCATGCAATTATTTCTTTAGTGATCTTAAAGTGCAGCTGAAGTCAAAACTTTTAAATTTTTTTTAGTTTTGGATAGAGTGCAGAGGGAATAGAACTCCTACACAGGTTTTCAGTGCTGTCGGTGTCCCCGTTAGGGAGGTTCACCCTCCTACTGACCACCTGGGATTTCCTTCTCTTTGGAGGGATTTCCTCTCACTTTCTGTTGTGACTATTGAACAGGAAGTGAAGAGAAATCTCCCAAATGGGACACAGATGGCGACAGCGTTTTTAGCATGTTTTTATGCGCATTTCATCATGTTTTACAGGGATTTTCTGCTCACATGGCAGAGCGTTTTAAGGCTCGTTCGTTTTCAGCTCCTTTTCAGTTGGCCAACGAAAAGCAGTCTCAGCTGCAAAAGCGCGCTGAAAAAAAGCTGATCGACGCGTTTCCATTGAAGTCTATGGAGCAAAACGAGCTGATATGCGCCACATAAGCAGCTCATGGACTATTTCCAACAACGGGCGTATTTTTATGCGTGATTCTGTGCGTTTGTGTTAACAGACCTCATAGGAATACATGGGATTGTGATTTGCATGCGTTTCAGAGCAGAACAACGAAATGCCCTGCCCTGTACAACTGAAGCCAAAACCTTCCTTTAAGTTTGGGAGTAGATATGGATTAGAACCCCTATCATGTTTTTATTGCTGCCTGTGTCCACGTTAGAGAGATTCACCCTCTTTTTATTTGTTCTGGTGACCGTTATCCCTGAAAGAAAATCCCAAATTTTTGGTTGTAACAAGAAAAGGAATAGATGGGAAATCTTCCAACGGGGACACTAGTTCTAGTGACCCTGCTGACCACCAGGGATTCCCCTCTCTTTGGAGAGATTCCCTCTTGCTTCCTGTTGTGGGTATCAGAAAGGAAGTGAAGGGAAATCACCCCAATGGGACACAGATGGCAAATAAAAAGCTGACAGGGACTATACCTGTAGCCCTCCATCGCTCAATCCAAAACTAAAACGTTTTTACATCATGTGTTCCCTTTCCTCAACCCAATAACAAGAAGAGGAGGGGTTTTGTAGTACACAGAGGAGAACTGTGCAGGGTTGACAACACTGCTTGAGATTTCAAAGCAGCAGATGAACTGTGTTGTCAGCTCAAACAGGCAGTTAGAAGCTCCCTGGAATTCTCACTGGAGCAATATATATTTTCTTCTGCATTCTTTGAGTTTTTGAATTGATATAACACAGGAAAAGGTGCATGTAACTTGTGGTAACGCCTACTCTATGTGCAGTGTCATATTGTAAATGTCGCCCCCAATGCGCTGTACAGTAGAGGACAATGCATGATGCAACACTGCAGGTTAAAAAGCGTCATGTGTGTTTTTTGTTGCATGTTGCGGGGCGTTACGAATGAGCTGATGCAACACATGTTCATGTAAAACATAATACAGTTTAACACAATGCAAAGGATCGCTAATTTATTAATTAGACCTTTTAATTTTATTTCCCTGCATGTTGCCCATACAAAATGTGCACTTTTGACTGCGGTGCACCTTTAAGAAGATGACAGGGCCATATGGACTGCTCTGCTTACAAGGCAGGAAAGCCCATTAAAATAAGAAAATGCTCCAGCGTAGCAATGGAAGTTCTTATGTTCCAGGCCATTAGCAGAATAAAATAAACCTCCATAGCTTTGTGTACAGTGGAGAGGGCAGAACTGCAAAGTATTAATTGAAGGAGAAACTTTTCTCTTGTTGGATTGCGGCTGAACCCTGACACCAGAGCCGGAGAATTGTTTACATGCGCAGCTCTGTATATAACATACGTTTTCAACACGGATGGAAATATTCTTTGAATCCCGGTGCCGCATGGAAATGTGAAATTTAAAAGTGAAAATACAAAGTAGAGGAGTCTTGTGAGGGTCAAACATTTGATATGGAATATTTGTCTTGGGTGCCGGGTGAGAAAAAATAAAGTGATAATAAAGGGAAATCGGATGCTGGATGTGGTGACATGTTAAAATACAGAATTTTGATGTAGAGATGACTGATATTTAAACGGTATACTGAGATCGCCGCAGCCGGGGCGGATCCCGGCATTACTGTCGAGATCCACCCAGCTGCGTGAGTGACAGCTGGCTCTGCCTATCTAGAGGCAGAGCCAGCTGTACCCGCCCCCTCCCCCGTCCGTTCCGCCATTCAGCGCTGGGGGATCGGAGGGGGGAGGAGGGGGGGGGGGAAATCCCTGCAGGGAGCCGTGAGTGGCAGTCACGGCTCTCTGCAGGGTGATGATCGAGAAGTGACCGAGCGACAATATGTGTTCGCTCACTTCACGATCTATTGAGCCGACGTGTGACAGTTTTATTGTCACGCGGCGGCTCGAACTATGAGGTTGAGTGAAAATCACTCACCTCATAGTTCTCATTTAAGAAAGGTGCAATAAGCAGCCATTTTAAGCTTTGAATATGCTCAACACTGATCTCTGCATTCTCTGCGATCAATCTCACAGAACAAGGAGCAGATGCTTTGCCGTAGATGCTCTGTGTCCATACACGGGGTGAGTCAGGTACAGATGTCTATGTCCGGGGAATGCAGTGATCTCAGTTTGATAGGAAGATCCCTGTCCGGGGCAGGCAGCAGTTGGAAAGTAAGGTCAGATCTGTAACTTCAAGAGCCAGAGAGAGAACAAGACAATTACTCTTCTCCAGATGCTCCTGGCCTTATTTAAACAGTCATGAAGATTGCGCTGCGAGCTTTCCATTTAACCATTAAAGCTTCTATGTGACAAGCGGCCTGTGCCGGAGCACATGAGATCCTGCAGACTTCTTTTGTTTTGCATACTTTGCCCAAACAAGGCAGCACAGAGCCTCAGCCTGAAATCTGCATTTTCCACGCTTGCAGGTTAGAAGTCTGATCCTTTGCCAAGGAATGGAAAATCGGGCCGAGTCCACACCAAGGCCTGGTTAACCCTTAACAACCCTTTTTTCTAGCAAACATTGCTTTTCTTTTACTGACATACAAGCTGGTATAGGCGTAGGGTAGGGGTAGGCAACCTTGACACCCGAGCTGGTGTGGAACTAGAAGTCCCATAAGGTGTTGTAAGACTCTGACAGTCACAGGCATGATTCCCAGAAGAAGAGGCATGATCGGATTTGTTGATCCAGCACAGCTGGTATGCCAAGGCTGCCTACCCCAGCATAGGATGCGTATGTGTACACAGATGTCTTTTACACCAGGTTTTGCTAAGCAGCAAGGAAACTGCAGCAGAGTGCAGATCTTTCCATTTCATGTTTGTCCACATAAACATTAGTGTTACTCGAAGTTTGCTTTGCATACAGATTTGATTCTGCTGGGTGCCCTCATTTTACACTATAGACCAGAGGCGCTTTTGGATTATACTGCCACCAACAGGAGGATTGGACAAATTAAAAAAAAAAACTGTAGGCCAGCCCAGGATAACCTTCCTACTACCAGCATGCCTTGGTTTTGTAGCAAACCAATACCAAGAGCATGATCACAAACACAGAGGGGTGGGACCTGTGTCCCTTAATGAACTCCGAGAGAAGGATTTTACGATGAGTACAAAAATCCTATTTTCTTTCTGGTCTCTTGAGGGACACATGAAGTCTTTCACCTTTGAGGAGTCCAAAAGCAGTCCATCAGAGCAGAGGCATTCCGAGGCGGGGTGACACCTGGTGCGGGTATGTCTTGCGTGTTGATGTCACGCGCGGTACCGCTGTTACCTGCCGGCGGCCATCTTGGTGATGGACGCCAGCAGAGAGAGGAGGGGACGTCACCAGGCGGGATAAGTTATGCCGCCGAGTCCCCTCCTTTCTCAAGCAAATGTCAGGCTCTTGGTCCTTGACTGAGTGCCCGACTTTTCAAAGGGGGGTGACACCAAAATGACTGTCAGTCATTTTGGTGTCACCTCTCCAATGGTGTCACCCGGGTGCGGGCCGCACCCCCCTTGTGACGCCACTGCATCAGAGGGCTGCTGGGTAACACAGCAAACAGAACCCAACAGAGAACTAGGGACTGCCTACAGCTAAAAGAGACATCTGAAGGACCTTACCCAAAGGTGGCATCAGATCAGGCCAAATCATCCACCTGAACTTGGAGAACGTGTGAACAGAAGATGAGGTTTGAGAAACAGATGCTTAATGCCGAAAAACCCAAGAAGAGCTCACAGACATGGTAAGGTGCACCGTGACAGGAAAGGGTGTAACTCGAACCTTGAGACTATAGGTTTTGGTGATGGTGTGCCTAAACCACCTAATGATGGTGGAGCAAGAAGCTACCGTAGTGTACCCTTTCAGGGACCATCCAGGATGACAAATAGGCTCCTTGCCCTGCCTATATGCCAAGCTGTTAGTGCTGACAAATTCAGGATTAACAGCTTTTCTATTTCCTCTCACACTCAGCTGGGGGTGGATGAACGGGGTAAGTAGCTCCAGCTCACCTACTCATGGGTACAGGCTGCACCCAGGGGCATACGGTTTTTCACACGTGCAAGGAGCAACGTGTTCAACGGCCTTGTGCATCCATGTGCATGAGGCCCAATGTAAGCAGGTCTTTCTAACAGTCTTTGTTGTGATCATTTGAGAATGAATAACATCACATGAAAAGCAGCTACAGAGGTCAATGGTGGATTGTTTCGAAGATCATTTACTACTTGTTAATATGTAAATAGGTATAGTCTAAAGTCTAGGCCAGTGGCTCTCAACCTGTGGGTTGCGACCCAAAAGTAAGCGAGTGGGTCGCTGCGCTAGTAGGAGCCTCTCACCTACCGCAGCAGAAGGCGCGCGGTGAGTGGATCGCCGCATGCCTTCTGCTGCGCTAGGTGAGAGGCTCCTCAGCCTCATCCTAGCACAGCAGTGCCAGTTTTTCTGCTGCGCCACCAGATATCACTGCAGCAGTCGCGGCCGGGGAGGAGCAGAGAGCAGGGGAGTGTTTTTTTCTACATTTATCCCTGCTTCGGGCATGCAGGGCTAAAAGTACAGCGGGGTGGGAGCTGGTCAAGTGATTTCAGCGGCTGTACTTCCGTTCTCCGCTCTGCTCCCTGTGAACACTGAGACAGGACACACAGCCTTCCCATCTCAGCTGTCACAGGAGTTCCAGCACAATGCTAGAACTCCTGTATTGGAGGTGACAGGTCCAATAACTAGAACCTGCCATCTCCAAATGATGTCACACATGGAGTGGTTAGCTCCTGTGTGAAAGCAATGAAGTTAAGTGAAAAAAAAGGAAACAATATTAAAATAAATAAAAATTAAAAAAATTGTTAAAAGTAAAAAAAAGAAATTTAAAAAAATAAGGTAAATAATAATTAAAAAGTAAATAAAAAAAGTGATAAAACATAAACAATAATAAAATAAAAATTATAAAAAATAAGATAAATAAAAATGTAAAAAAAAAAGTAAAAAATATTTATAATTATCATACAAAATAACAATTTTACCGTTGGGGGTCAACACAACTTGGCAAATGTTACCAAGGGGCCCTGGCCCTAGAAAGGTTGAGAACCACTGGGCTACCCCCACAATGCAAGGGTAAAGAGCTCATTTTGGTCTATAGTCTAAAATAAAAATTCTTTAAAGCCCAATTGGTCCCCTTGATTTATTACTGTAATGCACCCAGGCTGCAAATACACTAACAAATATTTTTTACTTTTTCATCAGATAAATGCTGCAGTAAGCGTTAAAATACCCTGTGTTGGCAGTACTAGGGAGAGTCAGACCTCAGCTCTGACACATAAGCAGCTCTACAGTCCAACGCCCCATTGAACACTTATCTGGAACAGTGTCCAGGGGGCATGTCAGAGAGCTGTTCTACTTGTGTGTCAGAGCCAAGGACTCTCTTAGTGCTGCCAAAACAAAACTTGCTGCAAAACTTTACCATTAATTATGGTCTATGAACCCTGACTGCATTACAGGGTTCAACTGGACTCCTAGATGTTACAGAACGATGACAGGGATGAAGTGAGACTCTCCGTCTCTAGAATACTATGCACCAGGACTGAGGTCAGAAATGAATTATGGTACATCTGTCACTATGAATTACACAAGGCTTGCACTGATCAATGGCTCTATGGCACGAAGTTTAGAGTCCAGGTGTAACGATTTCATCATTAATATTTGTTACCCCGCAAGAGGTCTGCAAATTCTGTTTCCAAAACAAATGTCTCCATAGAGACAGATCAACTCTTTGTATTAGTCAGTAATCCTCTTAGACGTTTTCTAGACACAGGAAAAAAACAGCGTCCTACAGGAACATCTTGGGAAGAATTTGCTGGGCTACATACACTAAACTGCTACAACTTTATGAAACATTTAAGGGGTTATCAGAATACTTCCAGCTGACGGATATGAAGAACTTCATGTGAAACGATGTGAGTGACGGTGTGTGAATTAAAATCCTCAGTGAGTTTACCATTGACTGTAAAGTAATGCACAAAATATGCAGCATGCTGGATTATTCAAAAATGTGCTGCACTGCAACTCTAACTCTTTCTGGTGTACTCTGCCAAATGAACCTTTTACTTTTTCTATCTGGGCAAAGTATAGTTTTCTCCTCCCTACCTTAGTTCTCCTCCCAAGAACCCTCAGCCCTGATGCAAGCAGTGGGATGGATTTTCGGAGGGGTAACGCAAATACCTTAATGGGTGGATGCAGTGGCATCACAAGGGGGGTGCGTCCCGCACCCAGATGACACCATTGGGGAGTGGTGACACCAAAATGACTGGCAGTCATTTTGGTGTCACCCCCTCTAAAAAGTCGGGCACTCAGTCATGGACGGAGAGCCTGACAGTCTCAGGAGAGAGGAGGTGACCCGGCGGCATACCTCATCCTGCCGGGTGAACGTCCCCTCCTCTCTCTCTCCCTGAGTCCATCAGCAAGATGGCCACTGGCAGGTGTCAATTAGATGGCTGTGCATGCACGATGACGTCATTGTGCACACGCATGGTGTCGTCACGCGCATGCGCGATGACGTCACAGCGGGGGGTGTCACCCGGTCTCCGCTCCGTGTGACATCCGGCCTCGGGACGCCCCTGGGTGGATGTCAGTCTGGAGGAGAGGGTGTTCCTAGACAGACTGTATTTGTATGCAGACCACCCTAGGTAACACCCACAAGTCATACTGAGTGTCCATGAATGAAAGGGGCTGGCCATATACAATAAAGCTGGGAAGGAAAAGGCTAAATGGTGGGCTCTATCTGACTTGCTGCAGCTTGTAATGCACATTATGAGAAGCTCACAGTGTTCAGTGAAATCAGAGGAAGCAATTAAAGTCTAGAAGAAGAGCCGGTACAAGTGGGCAAGACTGAAGGATAGGCCAGAGTTCCGCTTTAAGAAAGGTTAAAGCTTTAGACAGGTTCTCATTGCAGTTTGTGATTCTTTTGAGGAAATTTACCACTCCATATAGTAAGGTGGGGTCACTGGAATAGGAAGACGCATACATCAGTAAACAACTAAAACCCTAAAAATTCCTTATCACTTTGGTCATTAACATCTGACTGTGGTTCTCCATAGCTAGAGTTGGGCTTTAATGTTCACCATTCTAATAATGTTCTGTCATAAGTCGTTTATCCATCTGCAGTAGCTTATTTGCCATTGCACAGAAGCCTACCGAGCTGACGATATAGATTGTGTGGGTGGGAGCCGGCGTTTATTGTACATGAACAGCTCAGCCCTGGGCAGTGGCTGAAACAGCGACAGAGTTGACGTACCAATGGTCTCCATTGTGTCCCGCTCTTCTATAAGAAGTTGTGCTCGGGGAATATCTATGTGCATTCTCAGCGTCTGCTGCTTGTTCAGGGTGTCTGAAGTCCGGGTGTTTTTGCTGGAAAAAAGAAGAAAAAAAAAAGATAATACTGAGTATATTACGACTAAAGTGATCACCTTCAGAGGACATCATTCTATATCAAACTGTGAAATACACATTACTGTGTCTATATCCGGGGATACTGATTGCCCTTTGCGAGGAGTTTTAGGCCTCAGAAGGAGCTGGGTTCCATATTTGAACTTCTACCTGACTTTACATTGGAATAAAACTGCTTCTATTACCTTGTGGTGTGGAGCTTCTATCTCAGATTTCATGCTTTGCACTACAAACCATGGAAATTGTGGGAACCTTCAGTTATGTAGAAATGTAAACCTGGTAACAAGATAACCTGCACAAGCACCCCCACAACACTACTGGACAGCAATACAAATAAGAAACTCCTAGGGTACAGCGTTACTGATTTACTTTCCCCGGGTATCTAAACCAGACCATACAAGAGTCTGAGAAGAGCTGCAGGACCCCTGATACAAATATGGACTACCATTCAAACAGGGGCCTCTTTAGAGAACAACTGTATGGATCACACCGTCAACCACAGTCTTTCCTTGCTCAAAAGACAGACACCAGATTAAATATATGACATTGTAAGAGAAATAAAGAAGTGGAAATCAAGCTTATTTTAGACATATCATTTCTGTTACAATTCTAAACTAAGTCATTAAACCGTAGAGGACTAAGGGTGACCATCCCATTCGCATTTGCAGAAGATCAGGAGCATACAAAACATTTGGCCCACTTTTGGCATGAGAAATTGCTTTTGGTCGAAGGTATGGATTTATTCATCTGCTAACTAAGAAAGACTAAATTTAGGAATTGCAGAAGTCAATGAAGACTTACACCAATCCTCCTATTACACTTTAGGGTAAAAATATTATGAAAACTCTGCAGAAAGGAAAAAAGAGAATTTTGCTAAGAAATTTTAAAAATTAGAAAAAGATAGACAAGTGTAGCGCCCTACTGGAAAGGGTGCTATTAAATGTAGTGATTGTCAGACTGTATGTGGCCTGAGACTAATTTGTAGTCTGGGTTTATTTGGCTTCCCCCCAAACAATCTATCATTGCTTGCCATCTGTGTGCTGCTAAAGGTACTGCAGGGTGTGCCCTGGTCACAGAACAGAGCAACCAATGGGATTGCTATGAGTGGATATCTCTCCTCAGCCAATCACTGTTGAATGATGGCCAGTGGTGCATTCTGGGGGAGGAGATAAATACTTGGGGTGGACTATGTGAGCTCTCTCTTTCTCGCCCCGGGCCCAGCCTGTGTGGAGGCTGACATGGATGGTCTGAGAAGGCCAGGCCTGAAGCCTGGGGACTAGTCATGTGATGACCCTGGAGCCTGGTGGCAGCAGGTCCAGTAGCTACTACTAAAGAAAAGGGTCATTAACTTCTACCTCAAGTAATGCTGTGTCAGGTGTTTGACCTGCTGTGCATGGAAACAGTAACCACACTCTGAAAAGCATTGGAGTCTACATCTGCCTAGATGATCCTAACTCTCCTCCTCCTCTCTCCCAGAAATTCTTTAATAAAAGTTTCAAGCATCATAATTACAGTCTGGACCTCACTTCAATTGATCACCAGAAGGGGGGTAAGTGCTTGATCGGCAAAGCGAGTGAATGTATCTCTAGACAAGAAGAATTCGGAGTTGCCTTAACCAAAAGCAACCGACCCTAGTACTCAGGTGTGCTGTTGTGCTGTGGGTCCATAATAGAGGTTTCTTATAGAGGAAAGACACGGAGACCCGTTATTTCATTTTATTGTAGATCACCCCTTCAGAGCCACCAGTAGTGTTATCCTATGCTGGGATAGCGCTGACCAGGAAAGGGGGCTGCTGCACAAGATTATGCAAATGGAAACCTTGGGAATACAAGAAAACCACTGAGAACATTGGAAACATTGAACCAAGCCGCCAATCTATTAACACCAGTATAAAAAGTAGTCAAAGAAACATTTAATTGGGTCTACTATCAGGAGCATACCACCAACAAAGTAACCAGTAAGTGGGTTTGCCATCTACAATTATCATCTCTGAAAACTTTTCTAGGTTGACGAGCACACCCTTCAGGAACACATTACCAACAATATTCCAGATGCCTTCATAGCTACTTCTCAATCCACCAATTCTCCATTTCATTAGATATACCCTCAACTTTCCTCATATCAGCATGTTCTTTGCTAACACATGAGCACCGCACCATAATGGACTGGATCCTTGTGCTGTTTTCTTTTGTCTCAGAGTCTGAGCTCTGCTGTACACAAACCGCTGTTACCAAGTCAAAATCTGGTACTTTTACTAGTTGTTATTAAAAATACACTAACACATAACTACATAATTTTTAAAAAATTATTATTTCTGCCTGAGGTTAATCTGTAAAGGCATCACAACGTAAACTTTTATGTGAAAAGAAGAAATCAAAATGCATCTTTTCTGCCAGTGAACAGAAATTTGGTTGACTACTATGGAACATTGCATTCTAGACGTCATCCATACTCTCTGCATTTGTTTATTGTAATAGATATACTGTTGATCTTCTGAACGATTCCCACTAAGAAGTGGCCGTGACATGTTTTATGAAGGTACAGTATTGATGAATCAAGCTGTTCTCTCAAAGTAATTCTATCTCATAAAAAGTATCACCAATGTTTTGCTCTGCCTTGCTGTGCAGCAGAAATGACACATCCCCCCCCTTTAATCTGCAACCCTCCAGCTGCTGAGAAAATAAAGTTCCCAGCATCACCTGTCAGTTATTCCCCCCTATCTCCCAACATTATAAAATTATCGTTACACCCCCCTCATGTGTGCTTGCTAAGTCCAACCATTTCATCATTCAAACTGGTTGTTTTAGGATAAAAATGTATATTAGTCAATGAATTGCAAATGCTATCCAGGAAACCTGCAGCCAGATTTGAAAGTTTGTTCACAGTGCTGCGTTATCGCTATCTATGAGAATTCCAGCAGTATCCAGTAACACCTAACCAGCATTACAATCAAGTTCAGGATCTCTGAGAAGGTGCCACCAACCATAAGACAGCCAGAAGATGAATGCCAAGGTGGAAATTAGAGCGTGTATACTCAAGTCCAACAAGTAGTATCCTCTGTAATCCATTTTGTGCATCTTCAAAGAGTATCTTACGCCGGTCATATCTTCACTCATTGAGAATAAAACCAAATGAAAAGATTTCCCCCATAAATTATGCTTACCCTTCTCCCACAAAATTACAATCAAAGCGTAGCTGCAGAACTCCTTAATTCTACATTAAAGAAAAACTGCCACTTTGCCATTAATGTGTACGCTCATATAGGGCAAAGTCTTGGACATGTATACTAACCCAGCTATGCTCCATCATTGCCTCCCCATTGTAACATACTCACCTCGACGGAGCTCCACGCACAGCGGGTGGCCCTAACTCCCCCCCACCCCCGACCCCCCACGCTCTACGACACTCTCGCGTCTCTACTCCTTCCTTAGTGGTTTAAGCCATAAGGTTTAGTCGCCTGGCGTTTGTGCAATGAATGCAGATGCTGGACAGAGAGAATCTTTTCTACCTACCCTGTCAGCACCTTCACTATTGTGGAACCTCTGCCTCACCTACCACTCCACTACCAGCTACTTGCCTTTACCCTAACCTTCCTACTAAGGACTTAACATACCCTGCTAGTTGATCCCCCGCTACAAGTCTATTTCCCTTATTGATCTGAGAGGACATTTACCTTAAGGTGCCCATACACCTTACGATTATCGTACGATAATCGTATGCAATCGCGTTTTCGTCTGATAATCGCAAGGTGTGTGGGCAGTGTACAACCGCAAATACTGTACAATCATACGGCTTTTGACTTTCAAGCATGTTTGAAAACTTTGGTCGATCGTACGATTTCGCAAGGTTAGTGGCGTTTCCGTACGTGAAAAATCGTACGATCTACACTGCTCATGCGCAAAAGAAAATACGTGCGGTTGATTACCGCAATTCGTCCAGGTGCTTTTCTTTAATTACGGCTACTTGAACCTTGCGATAATCGGGGCATGATGGTCCGATAATCGTAAGGTGTATGGCCACCTTTACTTGAACTACACCAGGAGACTCAACTCATTACATCCTCTCTGCACCTCATTCGTTATCTATAGCAACCACCAGCTGCTCATCTCCTAGCAATACCTTCCTAACATTTTGATTGTGGGAACCACCTCTGATACCACTTTCTGCTTGAACCACATTACCGCTGGAAGCTGCGCAACTGCAAGTATACAATCCTCTACTTCTAAATTAAGTTCAATACTGCCATTCTATTCCTTTGCAGTGCTGAAGTTTCCATACAAACATTTATACTATTAAGAGACTCAAATTTTCTGCACATGCAATGCATGTTGTCATTACATCCGATTCTCGATGCTCATCTACAACCCCATTGTAATAAAAAATAAGACTGTTGTATGATAGTACTGTTATACTGAAGATTTTGCTGTTAATCCCTTGCAGTATTAAATTACTTTGTTCATGATTGTGCATAACGCATGACAGCACCCCTGAATGTTAACCGAGTTATAGTACAGAGGTAGGCTTCAACAAATTCCTGATTTATACTAATTCTGTGATATCCGTGGCTGTGATCTATAAGAAATCCTTACCCCATATTGCTTGTGCGTTACACCCATATACTAATCCAGCTACGCTCCTTTACTGCTTCCCCTGTGTATGGGGCAGCACATGACCTCTTCTATTTGAGAGTGCTTGAACGGATCAATCACCAGGCCCCGACACTGTCATGTGCAGACACTCTCACTTTGCCCTAAATTGGTAAAGTGACTTTGTGTCTCTTTAAAGGAGAACTATGAGGTGAGTGCTTTTCACTCACCTCATAGTTCTAGCCGACCTGAGACTGTCACAGGTCGGCTCAGTAGATCGGGAGGTGAGCGAACACATACCGGGTTCGCTCGCCTCTCGATCCTGTCACGGCTCTCTGCCGTGACAGGGGGAGGGGCTGGATTCCCCTCTCCCCG